AAAGGTACTAAGCTCAATTACCTACACTTTCAACAAAAAATTCTTCATAAGACGCTATGTTTCAACTTTATTCTTACATGATATATCAATTATCCTCTCACCCCTTACAAGATCAGACAAATACAGACATTTGTATGCAATTTATATTTTGATTTTGATATTACACTTTTAAAATGCATTGCTTTATTATAATAAACATTTCTAAAACATACCATTTCCAGCGGAAGTAAGCAAATACCAGAATTATCGTGGCAAGGAGGAGAACTGAAAGACCTGCATTAATGAGCCACTTAGTGTCTGAAATAGAAAATATAACAGTTATATGGAATATAAAACAAACCAGAACATGTATATCAATCAAAATAAGTCTACATTCAGGCAATGTTATGAAATTCTTCAAAATGTACACATATTCTTATTTCTAACACCTTTTCGACGTAACGACATTGTTTATTAACCATGGCTCATTTGACGTAAGAACATGCACACGCGTGTATTATCTTCCAACAGACACAAACGCTCTTCCAAAAAGCTTCCCCCCAAGCAAATTTACCGGTACGCAAGCGAGTTGTGTGACTGGTTTCATTCGTTGAATGAGGGTACCAGCATTTGGTTTTGATTTTGAAGATTCGCTAACGGACAAACGAAAACTTATTTCACCTCTAGATTTGTTTGAAACCTGTCAAGCTCACGATCAGAATTGTTCCGCTGAACTAACAACCAAGGTGACGCCAAACAGTGTTAATAAATCTTCCAATGCGAATTCTATTTGTGAACGAGCTAGTGAATTTCTGAATCCAATTCACTAGCTCGTTCACAAATAGAATTCGCAAATTATAGAAAAAGCAAAGCTTGTTATAAACAATAGACATATAGGCATCACGTGATAATGTCAGAGCGCGCGCATAAAAACAGTCTCATTTAAATAAATTAAATTATCTTGGTCACCTTGTTCACTTTAGGCGTTATAGACAATCTGTTAGACACGAAACATACTGTCATTACATTTTACTTGGTAGAATAGATATAACAAGTACTAATTGTAATGGTGAACCATTACAGAAGTCCCCCAAACTGCCCCCATAGTCACAAAGATGCATCAGAAAAGGATCACAATGGCATAAAACACCTTCATACTAAATTTGAGTGAAATCAAACAATATCTGAAAATTCGACCAATCTGAAGCCTCCGTGTGGTTGCTATAAGATTGCTATGGCAACAAAACATATGCAGGTGAACTCGCAGTCCCCTATTACCCCTATATACCAATTTTTATCAAAATCGAACAATATCTACCCCATAGTTGCAAAGATGCATCAGAAAATGATCGCAATGCCTTTATGCACCTACATACTAAATCGAACAATTTCTAAATTGCGACCAATTAGAAGCCTGTGTGGTTGCTATGGCAATAAAGGTATGCGATTGAATTTGCAGTCCTTTAATACCTCTATATATCGATTGTCATCAAAAAAGAACACTATCTTATTCGACCAATCAGAAACCTCCGTGTGGTTGATATGGTAACATAACCTATGCGATTGAATTCGCAGTCCCCTAATACCCATGTAAACCAATTTTCACAAAAATTGAACAATATCTAAATTTCGACTAATCAGAAGCCAGTATATGGCGGCCATTTTGTCAACTTAGAAAACAAATGTCGCAGTTGAGTTTGCAATGCCATATTACACATACATACTAAATTTGAACGAAATAGAACAATAACGGAGTTTCGACCAATCAGTAACCAGTATATGGCAGCCATTTTGTCTAATTAGAAAATGGATATCATGGTTGAGTTCGCGGTACCATCATACACCTACATGTCAACTTTGGAATGAATTGGAAAATATCTATCAAACAAATAAAATAGGATAGGGGACATTGGCTATCTTAAGCGAACACCTTTAGAAATTTTAAATACCCAAAATTTTCAAACATTTTTTGCGGCCATTTTGTAGACAATGTCTATTTTTTATTCGACTTTAGAGCACGTCCTTTACCGAAAGTTTCCTCAAACTTTTATTTTGATGCGCCAAATATAACAAAAGTTATGGCTCAAAATGTTTGAGCCAATCAGAGGCTGTGGCGGCCATCTTGGATGGTAATCGGAAAAACAAAAATGTGTCAGTAATAATCCCTCAAAGTATTATATATATATAATCCCTCAAAGTTTGATGAAGATCCGACATATAGTTTCTGAGAAAAGTGTCGGAAACCTTAACGGCGGAAAGCGGAAGAAGAAGAAGAAAGAAGAACTAGAATTGCAATTGCGAGTAATAGCGGAAGTCACCCCTTCCCTGGAAAGTACGCAGGCATTTTGTTTTTTCACAAAAGAAACACCGCATTGTGTTCATAGTGACATACTACACCTACATACTAAATTTTATCAAAATTGGACGATATTAAAATCTCGACCAATCAGAGGCCAGGAAATGGCAGCGATTTTGTCGAAATGTGAAACTGAGGTAAGGAAGGTGAACGGTGTCCCATGGTTTACCTACATACCAAATTTCATGAAAATCAGACAATATTGAAATTTTGACCAATCACAGGCCAAGAAATGACAGTCATTTTGTTTTTTTACAAAACGAATACCGCAGTTGTATTAGAAGTGCCATACTATACCTACATACCAAATTTTCATCAAAATTGGACGATATTTTTATTTCTACCAATCAGAAGCCTGCATTTGGCCGCCATTTTGAATTCAAAGTCAATTAATATTTTGTCGAAAACGAGCGCTGTGACGTTATCATCCCTTTCACCGAGTTTCATTATGTTCCATGAAATAGAACGAATGTTATTACTGGATATGATTTCGACATTGCAGTTTTGTTCGTAGTGCCATAGTTTACCTACATACTAAATTTCATCGAAATTGGACGATATTTAAATTTCGACCAATCAGAAGCCTGCATTTGACCGCCATTTTGAATCTAAAGTGAAATATTTTTTTTTGTTGGAAACGATCGGTGTGACGTTATAATCCCTTTCATCAAGTTTCATTATGTTCTGTCAAATAGAACGAATGTTATTACTGGATATGATTTCGGCCAATCAGAGCAGCGGCAGCCATCTTGGATGGTTGACGCGGGAAAAATAAGAGTCAGATGCACTACAAATTGTACTGATTATACATGCAAAGTATGATAAGAATCCCATTAGCAGTTCTTGAGATTAATCGCGGAAACATTTACGGCGGAATAATAATAATAATAATAAGTAAGAAACGGAACATAACAATAAATCTCCCCGACTTCGTTTGGGGTGACTTAATAATAATAATAAGAATCGGAGTAAAAACAATAAGTCCCCAAACTTCGTTTGGGGGACTTAATTATCATAACATTTTCTCAAACTCGTTAAATATTCAACCATAACACACGTACATGCGTTGAATATTTCTCAAATAACATGCAGAAAGAGAGGTTATCTTGACCTTGGAAGCGACAGGTTTGGAATATAAAAAAACTGACATATTTTATTGTCAACATATAGCTTTTGCTTAATTGTGTATGTATCTATACATGTTCTGCATTGTTAAGAAATATTCGTTATTTCAGATCGTATGCCAACTATGGACGATGACAAGTTTATTAAACTATATACATACTATAAGGATTTAATACGTGTTAGTAAAACATAAAGACATAGCAATTGTCGAACGCAATTGTATTTCAGAAAAAAATATTGCATGTAGAATAAGTTCTCAGGTATTTAAAAGAAGACAGGGGGTTCTATTTACTCACAAGATTACGTTTTAAAACCATGTTACAAAACATGCTAGCTTATGCCCCATTTCACTAGGCTACGACAGGCGGCGTCGGTGTCGGTTAGCCCCCACCCGACAGCATCCGACAGGAACGTAGATTGACCGAATATCAACCAAGCACTGGCCGAAGGGTGACGTCGAGAAACCCCAACTGACGCAGAGTGACCGAGAGAACATTTTCTGACCCCGGCAAATTTTGAGCATGCATAAAAATCGGCTGCGACAGGCCAAGATAGCATTTTGACCGAGTACATATTGTACTAACCCTCATCAACCGAACTTCACCGCAAGGTGACGTAAGTCTAACCGAATAGCAACCCCCATCGACCTAACACAAACCCTGAGAAACCCTGCCTGTCCGAGTGTTTTATCAGACTCGGTCAACAGTGCGTTTCTCTGCGTTGGTGTTACGTCACAGTCGGTTGCTCTGAGTCGACATTCGGTCACATTCAGTCAGCAAACAATGTCAGGGACCGTCATGCACTGCCTGGCGGGGTTAGACATGGGTCGCCATTCGGTCATGCTGCGTCAGCCTGCGCCAGTGTTACGTCAATATTCGGTCAGCTTGGGTTGTAGTTTGGTCAATGTCGGTTGCTATAAATACGGGTGCGCCACATACGATTGGCTAGTGATACATTTGTTTTCCAAAGCATCATGCCACCAAAGAAATCAAGAAAAACGTTAAGACAGGCAATAAAGAAGACGAAGGGCAAAGCCGTGATGCAGCCCGGAGACACTCCAACAGGAGACGACGAGCACCAGGTAGAGGTCCAGCCAGTTGTTGAAAGTGTGGGCCAGGTGATAACCATCGTTGGGCAAGGGAAGCATCCAAGAGGTCGTGGTCGTGTTGGAGGGAGCAGAGGGTGTGGACGTGGACGTGGCAATAAAGATATTGTAGCCGAGGCCATGGAGGAGGCAGACGTTGGTGCTGAGAAGGAGGACGAGTATTTTAATGGTGCAACTTCTTCAGAAGATGACACGGAGGTTCCAGCCCAGAAGAAAAAGAAGACCGCAGAGGTGGTGCTCACTCCCGAACAAGAGCAAGCCGTCTGTGACTGGCTCCGAGAGTTCCCACAAGTCTGGAACACGCGCCATGAAAGCTACAGGAAGACACCTGAGAAGGACCTCTTGTGGGAAGAGCAGGGCCAGAAGATGGGGTTGATATGCGGTAATTGTACATTGCCTGTGACCTGGTCATGCCTCGGGTGGAGTAAGGTTTCATCAAGTTGGTACGGAGTGCGAATGCGTTGTCCGCAAGGAGGAAGTAGGGGTGTCCTCATCATCAGAAGGCAGTGGATCTTCTGGGGGGAACCCTATGGTACGGTTGTCCATGGCCTCTTTGAGCTCACTGCCGTTGAAGATCTGGGCATCTGACATGTGACCGGCTCCTCCCACATCACACCACAGGAACCTGTAGTTGGCATCAGCCAGGGACATTAGGACAATTGAGTAAAACCCCTTGTAGTTATAGTAGTAGGAGCCTGACTTGATTGGGCATTTAATGGCCACGTGTTTCCCATCCAGGGCACCCAGAGCATGAGGGACGTTCCACCTCCTCTGGAACTGCAGGGCCACCTCTTTCCATTCATCGGGGGTGACGGGGCACTGGACCTCCTCTTCTGCAAATTCATCGATGATGGCCTGACAGACATCTGGCAGAAAGCTGGCGATGGTGTGTCTGGACACTCTGAAGCTGTACTGCAAACTTGGGTAGTTGTCCCCAGTAGCCAGGTGCCGGAGTACCACAGCCAACTTCAGCCCTGGTTCCAGAGGTCGTCTGAACTTGGTGTCCTTCTTCTGGAGGCGAGGCGTCAGCCGGTTGAGCAGGAATTGGAACATGTCTGGAGGCATGCGCAGGTAGTTAGTAAACGACTGTACATCCTCGTTCCGGAGCTTGACCATAAGGTTGTTGTACTGGCCAGCTGAGACTCGCTCATCTTCTGTTAACCAGGTCCTCACCCAGAACCGCTTCTTGCTATATCTTCTTCGGGCCCTTTGCCTCCTTCTTTCCTGCAGGACCTCGGCCTGGGCACGGATGTAGGCATGATGCTGAACAATCAGATCAGCCTGGAAAAGTCCTAGTACTTGCTCATTCATACTGTCCCTGGACTGGACTAGATTGGACCACCCTAGGCCTGAAATCACACTATTTTAAATCAACGAAGATCGCAGCCATCAACATGTCTGACCCTCTGTGACCCTCCATGGCGTAACATCGACGCAACTGCGTCGCATACTAACCCACATCGACGTATGTCTGTCCTATGTGCATCCAAGTGCATCGCAACTCTGACACTCATCATCGCACCATCAACGCAGCTATTGCCGCACACCGACCGACACCGGCCCATTTTGACCGAATACTGACGTAACTCTGACCGATATGAATCGTAGATGTGCCATTTGTGTTCGAAAATGTTCGAAATGCTCGAACAGTTTTGCGACAGCCCAAAATTTACTGAACGACCCTGATTGACACTGACGCAACGCAAGTGAAATGGGGGCATTAAAAACTAAAATTCCGTAAGTCGTATTAAAGATGGATTTAAAAGTTATTTAAAAAAGCCATGCCTTGCAAAGTTGATTGCGTGGTTTTTCTAACAGTAACAAAAAAAAGACAAAAAACTTTGTTACAACTCCAGAACGTTGCTTCCTCCCCGCAATTTGTTATCGAAGAAATTGTGCTTGTTGGAGAAGGACTTGTGCTTGTTGGAGAATGGCTTGTGCTTGTTGGAGACTGGCTTGTGCTTGTTGGAGAATGACTTGTGCTCGGATGAGTCGAAGTCAATTGCCCTACAATTTCAAATGTTGATAAAAAATTGACTGCAATTGAAGTTTCATGAACAATTATCAATTCCCGCTAAAAGCCGTAGCAGAATTCTGATTGTGTTACAGTTAAATGTAACTGACATACTCTACTATTTGTCAATATATGATTCTATATAACCCTATCAGAATGACTGTTCTATGTACCTAAGTTAGCCTTAATTCTTGACGTTGTCCTGATATTGAATCGTTTGTTAAAGTCCCGTTCAACAGAAATTTTCATAACTATAGCATGTTTCCATGTATTTTTGGAGCTTATAGTTGTTCGAAATATCACTGTTTGAAAATAGAAAAAAGAAAAAAGGGATCTAACAAAGGCTTCACCATAGCAATGTTGCCGGACAGGAATTACACAAGCATAGAATCGAGTGTCCAATCCTTTAGACCAAAACTACCTGGAAATCTAGACGGGGAAATTATGTGCCCTCATACGCCTGACTAACTCCTTTAGTTACTGCGCCGTCGATTGTAACTGGTACTGTGATATCATTGCACCCTTACGAAAAACGATAACATTATATTGCAAAATCATATTTTACTTCGTCGAGAACAGGGTTTCGAACATAAACAGTCATTATACATATACAGGTAATATCGATGATCGTTGTATATTGGGATATACACTGAACTGGGTCCTTTGGTCCTTTTGTATAATTTTACTTGAGGAAAAAGAAGATAAAGGAAGCGATTTGAAAAAGGAAAATCGAAGCGGATAAGTGCTTTACCAGCAACGAAAAAAGAAGATTTTAGCAGATCAATGCGTTCGAAAACACGGCGATCATACATTAAAACACCGCCAGTTAATAGTGTATACACAATCAGAGGCTTTACGTAACAGAACCAAGATTCCCGTAGAGACATCTAGAAGTCTTGAAGGGGAAGTGCGCGAACATCAGACATGTTTTGGCTGATTAGTGTCAAGCATTCATATCGAAACTATCGTTCTTTATGCCTGTTTCTCTGCGTGCGCTTTGCTTATTCTGTGTCAAAAAATGACACACCTATCCTCAAAACATGGCATTTACGCTAACTATACGAATTCTTTCACCTCGGTATTACTCACAAAAAAGTTAAACGACTAATCACATATCTACAGCAATGTCATTTCTACTCCTTTTTAAGACTAATTAACAGCGGTTAAAATTTAAGTTAAATTAACTGAAATACTTGTATTGTATTCAGAAGATGGCGTGTATTATGTGCAGATAGACAACAAATTCATTCAGCACATGTTCATATACAATGGTAGAAAAATAAACGAACGAATGCTATTACTGACCTTCGTTTGATGTCGTCATCGACACCCCTTGACAACATTGACTCCACCTAAATGAATTGATGAAGAAGAGCAATCTTACAATCGGAATGAGTTCCATGTTTCAAACCTTTAAAAACAAGCCCGAGCACGCCACGGTGATATCTATGAGTAAATGAGTTGTCGCAGATACCAGTTGATACAGAGGCTGGTAATTTTTACTTGTGTAATGAACCGGATGCGCTTGTCATATTGTAGAAAAGTTGATGTAACGTATCCAGTTAAGTGTTCATGTGTCACGTTTCTATGACTAGTACAAATGTACATGTTCAGATGCACGTTAGGTACTCTCATCAAACAAACGACCAGTGAAGCGTATTTATATTCATTGTATGACGGCTATTAGAATCTAATCAGAAGTGAAGTCACTAGATATTCTGAGCCAATTTTGTTTTGTTTCAAGTTTATAGTAAACTGGTATATTAACATGAACTTAAGCTTTTTATTCCTATGACTGACTTCTGTATACAGCTTGCTAAAACTTCCACGAGTTGGCGATATGAATGCGGAAGTACTGAGGAAAGCTGTACCACCGACAATCCAGTACCACAGGAAAAAGACGACAGCAGATAGAGTGGGAAACCTGGAAAGATGCAGAACGGGATTGACGACACTGAGAGGACTGAACGGAAAATTATGTTAGCGAGTCATGGGCAAAGGAATAGCTCGGTCATGCACCAGAGGAGCTTGAACCAGGGGTCTATGGAGAGATTTCTGGTAAAAAAACACTAAGCGGGACAAGGATCGCAGCAGTTTTCTCGGACCCCACCCTCCACAGGGAAAAAAATTAAAAAAAGAAACCGAACAAATTATGGGAAATAAATATATCAGAATTAATGGAAGTTTACTAAGTTTCAAGAACTTGATTGAGTCAGGTATAATTTTTTATCAACGAAATACAAGATTATGATAGCGGTATAAATAAAATTAAAGTTTACCAATAGTAACAAGAAACAAGAGACTGGATAAGTTAGGAAAGTCAGGTAATGAAGCTATTCCAAAATAATGGAGGTAAAAAATCAAGGGGGATAATGCACGGGTGAATATTCAATCTAACACTTATCTATTAGTCTTTCAAAAATGATTTGGTGTTCAAATTGATAAGGTTAATAACTAGTTTCTGTATTTGGCATTTAAAAGAAAAAAGAAAATATACGTAAAACTGCAGAGATATGTGGAAGGGTTTGTTTAAGATAGAAAGCAGTGGTTTGGTTTTCGTGAATTATTTGAATTAATCAAAAATGATATAATTGAGAATGACGAAAAATGTTTAAGTGGAAGCTATTCCATTATATACTTCCAAACGCAATCTTACTCAAACGCTGGAATAATGTTGATGATGACAAATGTTATGTCAATGCGTAGAACCATTGTTGAGTTTAACCAATGAGGTTTTAAGAAAACGAACCCGATTACAATATAAATTATTTATTTAAAATATAACTTCAGAGAAAGCTACTACTACAGAGATAAAGAGATATTAAATTATCAAGAGGCATGGCAATGTCTTTGTAGGAGTAAACATCTTTTTTCATTTAATTAAAAAATCTGGTATATAAAGAGTTAAAAACAATTAAAATAATAAAAAAGAAAATAGTGCAGTGATGATAATACTGAAGGCTCAAGGCTCTTAGAACCTAAAACGTTAAGTTAGGAATTCTGGGTTAATATGTGTAAATGAAAATAGTATGTACAGAGTGTAGGTCCTATATGTCAGTATGTGTGTGTGTTTGAGGTAGTAACATACAAGACTGAATTGCGGTCATTCAGTCACGCGTGTATATGTAATGTATGTTATGCCAGTGAACGTGCACGGGTGAGAAGGAAGTGTAAGACACTGTCATTTTTTGTAAATAGGGCTGATGAAAAGTGAAATGTGTTTAGTAACAAAATATAAGGCAATGGGATGTGAATGCGTTAACATTTTGACTATTTATGTGACTATATATTACTAATGATAAATAAAATCAAGATAACTCTAAAGGGAAAAGGGGACTATATCTGTGAGAGAGAAAAAACAGCAACAAAAAATCCCTTGATAATTCTGTTATAATGTTTGCGAAGGTGGGGACATAGTATGCAAAGTTTGTTTGGTCCATTTCTGCAATTTTGACAGTGGGATTTAGATTGTTGTTTTCTGTAATAAACAGAGAGTAGTTAGCGATATGAGTGAAGTAGTGGTGGTAAAAGGTGTGTATGTCTTCCGTAACTTTGAAGAGTAGGTTATTTCTGTTTTCAAATTTTCCTTAGCCTGTGTCCATTACTGACTGTATTTGAGGAGGCGTTCATATATCGACATATTATCATAAAATGGGTAACGAGCTACTTGGCTAGTATTTCCTGTAGCTGGCTTATGATATCTGCATTTTCTGTGACCTTGTTGTCGGCTGGTATGTACGCGTTAACCATACATATGAGTTTGTTGGTTGATTTTATTTTTAATAGGTATGCGTCCTAGTGCCTCCGTCTGGTAAGATTGTCACCGCTTTGTCAAGTTCGTGCCACCGTAGTATTGCAACTCCCCATATCCTCAGATCTCGTTATAGGCGAGTTCAGGATCTTTATTATATACAGAATTTATTGTTGAATGTCTCTAGGATGTGATTTCTACGGTGAGTAGCCAGTGTTCTTGTATGGCCAAGATGTCACATTTTTGAAGATTAATATTCACGTAGTGGGAGTTTTAGGACATTTTTGATATTCATTGGTCCCTATTTTGATTTCCAACCTCTCGTTGTTTTTGCTCGGCCTTGACCCAGAAATAATTCCCTTATATCCGGGACTTGGGAGTGTTGATTCTTCCCTTTGTTCTTTCTCAAGACTATTCTTAGAATTTGTTCCTTTTGTTTTGTTAGTATTATGTTGGTTGGTGTATTATTTTCTGGCATGTCCTTGTTTTTTATTCGGCACTCGTTGTGTTTGTGCCTTGATATATTTTACAAATATCAGTCCTGGTGTTTGTGCCTGGATATATTGTACGTGTTGCGTTCCTGGTGTTTGTATCAGGGTAAGTTGCAAGTGCGGCATTCCTAGTGTGTTTGTCTCTTGTTCTTTTGTACGTACGATACTGTTTTCGTTTTTTTTGTTAACAGACGCCGTTCAATTGCACTAGAAGTGTAACTCTTATTTGGTGTGATTGGGAATAGGTTGGCTGGTATATGGCTGTCGTACTTTGGTCGCATCCTCCATGGTTGTTGTTGATGATTTGGACGGATAATGGGTAGCTGATGGAAGATATGCATGTACACTGCGTTCTTCGTTGATGCTGTTGTTGGTGACCTGCGTTGAGATGCATGTTGTTGTTCTTGTGTCAGATTTAGGTTGATCTGCAGTTCTAAAAATTGTATATCAAGTTCCAGCTCATTCATTTCTTGTTGATTGTGGATTTTTATTTCTTTACATTGTATGTCATCTTTAGTTTGTGTTGGAGTTCTGTTTTGAAGGCGTTTGACTGGTCAAGCAGCATTTTTCTATCCTATCCTCAGTGTCTTCTTCGAGTTTGTGTTATTTATCTGGATACATTCACTTTAAGTTTTGTCTTTCTGTCAGTAGCTCTATAGTTTGTTTGTAGTCTTTATTTGTTTCCTCCAGCTGACCTATTTTTGATCGGCATATACTCAGCAGCTGTTCCTCGAGGTATTCTGTGGTTTGAGGTTTTGGCTTGCTCCTATTTGGTCTGGCTGTTCTATGTTGGTTCATTCAGTCTGGTATTATAACAGGGTCTCGTTTTTCTTGTTGTGGTGACTTTTAGTGAATTCGGCTGTGTTTGGCATTCTTCTTCTTCGTCCCTATCTCTTGTTGGGTCATTGTTGGTTTTTTTGATCTCCTTGATATTTGGAGAGCATTGTAGAGATTCGGTGTGGTTGTCCATATGTTGTTTTTCATCTAGGGTCTATCCAGGTAAGATTGTTCAGACTTCGTAACAACCAAAATAGCAAAGTAGTAGTTCATCGGTCAAATGACCATTGTTTCATTGGTAAACATGGAAGACCCAGCGACTGTATATATAGGCCAATTTAAAGCAATGGTTACGGTGATCTTGTGGCAGGATGTGCAATTTGCATGGGCACTACCGCTTTTAATCGGATTACCTTCAAGCCTCGAAAGAATCAGGACAACAAAGCAATCATCGCGGTCTCAATCGCTGGGACGAAGCTTTATGTAGATGCAAGGACCGTATCCGATAGTCTTAGCGGTCGATATACAGATATCGCCGCTTCGCGGACGGTCAGACGTCGAGCCATTTCATTACAGATATTTAAACAAAAGTTCAATTGTCTTTGCACTACAACACAATTGTTGTTTAACTTGAGGGGGCGTTTATCCGGCATGAAGCATGCCACTAGTCGTTTACATCGGAACCTGTGATAACGACGACAAATGAAAATGCGTATTTGTAAGTTTTCAGTCGTCATGGGATGAGACAGAAGAATACCATTTACGTTTGTGACCAGTCACTGGTGTAATGAACGGGATAAAATTCGCGAGGATGTCCTGGGTCATCAGATAATTTCACACTTTAATGATTTTAATAAATAGGAAAGCACTTTGTCGTTATTCAAACCAAAAAGTTTATGCTACAGAAAAGTTGTTCTATTTTTACCGATATAGAGAGAATCAGCAAGGGGAGAAGTTAGCTGTCTTATGTGCTGAATATACATTTATTATCAACTGAATACGTGCATAGTTGTGAGTATAGTTTATAATTTCATCGAAAGATTACCAAAATTTAACCTTCTTTTTTTTGGTGATACGAAGTGAAAAAAATGCATCCAGAATATTCTTTTAATACGCCCATTAAATCATAAGGCATGCTTGTCATCAAAAAGAGGAAGTTTTAATATACTTATACATATAATTCTTATTCTTAAAAAAATTAGAGAATATATCATTCCAACATCAAACAACAAGAGAATACCGAAGTGTCGACACTACTAGGGCCAAATATGAACAAAGGACAAGTTTACATGGTCACCATTCTGCTTCATCGACGGCACCTATCATGCTGATATAGGTCAAATAATCCACGTTATGATTCGTCCTCACACCGAACACACGGGAAGTGACAGCAAGGCACACAAATTATCAGATTAAAAAAATATCGACATTCAATATTCAAAAACTAAAACCTGCTACTTTGTATTTTATACTTATGTATTTATGGGGTGACAGGATGCATATTTTATGTCGAACCTTTTTTTTCTGGCATGGGTATTGTTGTATTATATATTGAAGGACACGGTTGCGATTCTTTGATCCGTCAGATTGCTGGTTGTCACACAAAGTGACCTTGATACACACTACTTGTAGCACATGCACCAGCACAGATAGAATTAGGCCATGCATACGTAATCGTCATGATATTATAATATTATATAATCTATATCTCTGTAAACACATGATACTATAATATAACAATCAGACAAAACATCCCTGCATTTAGATGATAATGTGGATGATCGAGGTCCGGTGGATTCAACAAATTACCAAGATCTCTTAAGGTATGCTCTTTATTGTATCATTCCCCATGGTCAATTTGATGCGTATACACATTTCGTTTCAGTAGATACTATACATATATTCTAGTAGTTAAAAAGGGGGAACTATTTTGTTTTGTTTTCAAAATATGTCTTCGCGAAACATGTATGTATTTTTATAGGTATTTTCTCCTTATGAAATTACTATGATAAACCATAATTAGAAAAATAGAGTTCTTATGCCTAAGCTTCATAAAGTTTTAATTGAAATTTAACACTGATATTTGCAGAAATATATTACCTCTCTATAATGGTATCTACTAGTTTAAAAATCAAAAGGCATTGCTACCAGACATTTCAAAAAAGGAACGTGAAAAAGATGATTGGGCATTTTAAAATTTGTGATATCAATCAATTTCTCCCGAATTGGTTAAATAGCCAATAAATATATGTTACCAATTCATACATGTTGCATATTTACCTCACAAATTGACAAGGACAGATAAATCTTAATGAATAATTGATCTTTTTGACAAAATATGCATATGGTGATAATATTACATATAATGTACGTATCGCTTTCATGAAAAACTTGTATCGCTTACAGAAAGGAACATTTTGTGTCACATTAATCTATTTGTAACACGGCTATCGATTGTGGGTATGTTACATCTCCATTTGCAATAATGAATGGAGGATTCTTCATTTTATATTTATCTTTTTAGATTAAATCCAATTTTACCGGAGTTAATTCCTGCATATTACCATTATTTATAAATATACGTCACTCTTAAGCAATAAAAAGTAGAGTCAGGTTACCAAAAATATAATATTTTTAAGAGAAAATATCAATATTTCCTTTTTATTTACAGGAACATATGTTGTTAACCAAACAAAGCCCTAAGTTTTCATTTGTATATTTTTTCGGTATCAACAGCGCGTGTATTCTCCATTAGGTTAATCCGGTTAACCTGAAAAGGGTTAATTTGCCTGTTACCCTAACCGGACCACCTCATCATAGTAATCAGTTGATGGGAATAACTTGCAGTTTTCACACTTTCTGCTGAAAACATTGTTGTCGTTTTCTCGTTAAGATATTAATTTGAACAATGTTTTTCAATAGTAAGATAATTGTATTGTCATACCACATTATTTTCCGGGAGTCGTTTTCATATCGGTTTTTTTATGATTCACTTTTATGATTGAGTTTATGAGTAATACATGTACATTAAAGGTAGTCAAATAAAATTTGCTCAAATAACTTAAAACTATATTAATTTTGATTTGTATATTATTTTTGTATCGCAACTTAAAATTGCTGCATCAGATAAATGAAAATGATTTATGTTGGGTACCGTTCCGTTTTGAAACTTTCACGTTAGGTTAACATGGAAAAAATAATGCTATTTTGCATAAGAGAGCTAGAGAGGGAAAGACACGTGTTGCAATTGTGAAGCTTATATCATATTCATTTCATCTTTGTTCGGTAAAATGTTTAGGCTGTTGAAAAATCACATCATTTAATTATTATTTTTTTTTAATTTTCAACAGGTCTTTTGCACACTAGGAAAGGTACATCTTAAATCATCGATGAGATTGTTAATATGAATTATACAGGTCAGTCCTTCCTCATCCATCCCCGCCGAAAAAGAAAAGAAAAGAAAGAACAAGATATAAATAATGGATTTCATTAATGCTTGTTACATTGTGCATCTATTGCCCTTACCCTGCGTCAACATGGTTAGGGCAATACATATCATATTATGCCAAAGACGCAAATAGATGAATTAAAGTATTAATCCAATCATATGGACCAACAGGTTGACGTTGCTTTTTAGTCGCCTGCTTTCGAGAATTGGAGTTAGATTGTTGAAGTTTGGTGTATGCCAGGGCACGAATCAAAAAAATACACGCATGTCCATGCAGAAATTATGCACTTAAACAACAACTTTCTTTTTTTACAAAAACTATTGTTTTAACAATCAGCGTATAATGTAGGTTTCTGTGTGTGCTCCATTTCTCTCCAACATCAAGATTACCCGCCCACGTCCATGCGAGCCATTTATAGTGATATTTATAAGTTGGAAAAACTTGGTTTATAATTGTGGTAAATCTATAAAGCTGATTTCTTATTTAGAAGTGACTTCACCGCCACAATCATTGCTATTTACTTCTGTTTCCTTAATGTTAATATAGCTGCCCCGAGTATAATACATAAAACAGTGCACTACTACATAAACAGTATCATAATGCTTTGGAAAGGTAAATCATATTGACGAAGAAACTGCTTATCCAGGGTTTCCACTGGGAAGATTATGATGTACGCTGACATAAAAAAATGGTTATCATCAATTCTTTCAAACTAAGATATTTCAGTTTCAACCAAGATACTTACATATCCGGATACTTAGATATGTTTTTTTTTTATTTGGCAGACCACATCGATGCGAGTCCCACATGTGGTGCATATCACAAATTGTATTAGTTTTCTTTTGTACTTTGCGCATATTCTGTCGCATGTATGTTGTCTAAATTATCAAAGATTAAAATTTCAAAATATACTTATTTCAAGGTCATTAAGAATATTATATAAATGTAAAATACATAAAATAGAACGAGGAAATAATGTATTTTTATATATGCATTTAACACTGTTTCAAATGGATATCTTATATTTTCAGATATTGCACTCTTCAAGTAACAAACAGTACTGTTGAAATGCAAAATGGCTTTTTTAAAATGGGAGGACTACGTCATATTTGCTATAACCCTATTTCTCTCATTGGGAATTGGTCTCTTCTATTCCTTGCGTGGCACAAAACAGAGAACAGCCAGACAATTTATACTAGGTGATGGCAATATGTGGACACTTCCGGTGGCCTTGTCTTTAATGGTTTCCAATGAATCTGGTGTAATGATGTTGGGAGTTCCGGCCGAAGTGTATATGTATGGTATGCAGTGGTATATGGCTAGCATAGCAGGGTTTTTTTCCCATTTGGTGACTCTACATCTCCTCATTCCAGCACAAAGAGAGCTCCCAATCACTAGTATGAACCAGGTACGAACATACTGTTAGCATTTGAATTTTTCACTTATATAGATATTCGCGTTTTGACTCTCTTAACTGATTGTGTCGTGGATCTTTTCGCGTTTTGACTCTCTATACTGATTGGGTCGTGGATCTATTCGCGTTTTGACTCTCTTTACTGATTGTGTCGTGGATCTATTCGCGTTTTGACTCTCTATACTGATTGTATCGTGGAACTATTCGCGTTTAGACTCTCTTCACTGATTGTGTCGTGGATCTATTCGCGTTTTGACTCTCTATACTGATTGTATCGTGGAACTATTCGCGTTTAGACTCTCTTAACTGATTGTGTCGTGGATCTATTCGCGTTTTGACTCTCTTAACTGATTGTGTCGTGGATCTTTTCGCGTTTTGACTCTCTATACTGATTGTGTCGTGGATCTATTCGCGTTTTGACTCTCTATACTGATTGTGTCGTGGAACTATTCGCATTGACAATAGTTTTTAAATCCATACATTCTATTTATGTCTGATCTATAAAATCTATAAATATTCGCGTGTGGACAATTTAGCAAACATTTCCACAACGTAGCATACTTGTTGCATATTTCTGTCTCTAAATAGAAATGAGAGGCAGGGAAAACTTGATTATGCACTGTATATTTCTATGTTTTCTAAATCAAATATTCAACAATTTTAACTGTCAACAGCAAAATGCTGAAAAAATGTATTTGAGGTATTCCATTTGCTTGAAACTTTATGAGGAGTGTATATAGCTATTACTTTGGTTAATCCTGAAATAATTTGCTGAATTGATAATCTATATATAATGTTGCATTGCTTGATAACAAGGTATATGTTGAATTGTTATAATGAAAAATAAATACATGCACTACAGATTCCAATAAGTTTGTCAACTACAGAAACGCTGTACTTAATTGTAGTGTAATGTTTTGGAGTTGTAATATCCCACCATCATTGTCCATTGTACCTTCACAGTGTGACAATTTTATTAAAAGAAATATGTTTCTGATTATCTATCCTATGACATTATGCTCCTATGTTTCTCATTTTAGTATTTTGAGCTTCGTTACAACTCTCGTGGACTCCGACTATTTGCAACAATTATTAGCCTGCTGTCATCGGTAAGCAATGTCTGCCCCGATGTATTCTATGATATCCTTTGCAACGTGAGACACGTTGATGGTTAGATAAATAGTATTTTCTTTGTGGGTGGGTGGGGGTGGGGGACGTGTAAGGACGTGTCAGGTGTTGGTGGTGGAGGAAAGCCGGAGTTCCCGGAGAAAAAACACATATTGCCAGTACCTGGCGACTGCCCTACGTAGGCCTCGAACCCGCGACCCACTGGTTGAGGGCTAGTGGTAGCAGAATTGCAGACGTCTTTACCACTTGGTCACCACGGCCCTCTGATAAGACATACTTAACAAACAAAACATTCTGTATATTAATGCACTTACTTGTATGTTGTATTTGGTATGTAAACATGAGAACTTTGGGTATCTGATGTAATATTTGTTATTTTAAATTGATTTATTTGATCACAGGCGAACTACCTTGGTAGTGTTGTATTTGTACCAGCGATTACATTGGAAATGGGTAAGAATAATATTGTTGTGATTTACAGGTCTCTGGATTTAATCAAAGTTAAAGAAAAGTGCTAATCAATCATACAAATCGTTTTATCCTGTAAGGTTATCGTTGTTATTGTTTCTTCAAATGTTTCTTTTAAGACTGGATATGGATATGTTCAATGATTTATAAACTTGCAATTCTCATGTTTGGAGGAATCTTGCAATTTTCATCAAGGTAATTTTGATAAAGTTTCTCCCGACATTTGAAACTATATGAGGAAACTGTTTATATCGACTTTGTCCCAGTAGACACGTCTTATCTGTATTGTTTGCACACATTGATCCCGTTATTATAATAAGTTCCAAGGCGGAAACCACGTCAACTATTATTGAAGTATTTGATTTATGGATTGCAGTAACTGGTATTCCAATGTGGATCTCTATCGTTACACTGACGGTCGTTGTTCTTATATACACCATTCTAGTAAGTACTCGCAAAAAATATTTTGATTTAAACACTACTCATGATTTTTGACCAATTTAAGTGTGAACACTTCCCAAACGGGATCATGTTACATGTAGTGTATTCCTGATAACAGTGGAAATAGCTTTTCGAAAATCTTATTTCTCTTAACCATGTTTTTTAGGGGGGATTCACAGCTGTAATATGGACAGACGTATTTCAAGCAGTTCTCATGTTTGTTGGAATGTTTGCGATTCTCATCAAGGTAATTTAAGAGACGGTTCCTTCAGTTTTTTCTTGTAGATATTGACATTATACTGTATAATGAAACAGTTTCAAGTTTCAAGTGAAAACGTCATATTTATATTGTTTGTTTATATTGTATCCATACTCACGAGTTTGAGAATCCTATACTTGCATCCTTAAACAAAGCAAAAGTGTAAAATATTTTCCAAATTGATATATGGAATAAATATTAGGACAAACTTACAACCATGGGTTTCCAAATGCAGGCTAATGAAGACAATGGAAAAGTTGTATGGTCGCCATCAGGATCTCGCAGAGAAATATGCTCGATGAACTGGATTATGCTTATTATAGTGCTTGTTGTTGTTTTGTTGTCACTACCTAAGTTATGAGTGATGACGTGACTTTTTCTTGGATTCGACTTTGATTTAGATGGTGGATTTCATCGATGCAGCAGAATACGCTTACCATTCCGAAACACCTGGTCTTTTTACCGTTGTTTTTGTAAACGCCTCTGATTTCAAATATTTTCTTTGTTCCTTTTTTACCATATTTTTATCGAGTTTGAGTTCGAATTATGGTTTTGGTGACACTTCGGTGTTCGGGATTCGACTTTAGTTTAAATGGCGGATTTCATTGATGAAGCTGAAGACGCTTTCCCTTCGGGAACACCTGATCTTTTAATAGTTGTTTTTCAATTGTCTCAATTTTCAGATGTTTCCTTTGTTAATAATTCACCATAGTTTTATCGAGTTTGAGTTCGAATTATGGTTTTGGTGACACTTCGGTATTCTTTTGTTGTTTTCACTCACTAAGGGTACCATTGAAGCTGGTGGAGTAAAGAACACATGGACCATAATCTGGGAGAAAGGACGGATCAACCTGCTGGAGTAAGTGGTGAATGTGATTAAATCAACTCAAGTGGACAGTATACATACAATAAACCCAATGCACAATGGCAAAACAATAATTCAATATTCGCAATATCATCGCAATCGATAAATGAGAAGCTGGATGATTCAAAGTGTGTTAAAACTGTATTTGAAAACCATTAATTAAACATTTTGACATACACACATTACAAAACGTACTAACCGAGCATTGTTTATCAGGTAGCAGATGTCATGACTACATCTGCAAATTACGCTCTGCCAATATCCCATTGAAAAACGGTGTTTGTGAGAATTACACCCATGGTATTCAAGTTAACTATTTCTCTTGAACACAAACAACAAAATTATTATCAAAATATGACTGTCTTTATATGAAGATATCAATATCGTCCAATCAGAACGGTACTTTCTATGCACTGCGAACATTTTTAGGTTCAAGTTCAAATGAAGCAAGAGCAGATTAAGTTGTGGTTTTAGTAAAAAAAATCGTATACATTTTGGTACTAGCATAACTATCCTACCGAATTGTATTATTTGACATTTCAAGTTGCGCGCTGCCTTAATTTTACGCGTGATGTTATAAACGTAAAAAGATGACAAATTAGTGGATTCCTGTTAAATACCATAGATTTAACTGGAAACCATTAAATACCTTTGTATCCTTTATGATTCATTGTTTAAAAAAATGAAGTATACTTAAATTTCTATCTTTCAGTTTTAATCCCGATCCCACTATACGTCAGTCGTTCTGGAGCCTTTTCGTTGGGGGTCTGATCAATGGACTCAGGTTGCAGTTTGCCCAGCCAACGTTTCAAAGAGTCAAGGCCACTCCTACATTATCAACCGCCAAATGGTAAAACTAGGTGTCGTAAAATGTGTGCGGAATTTTACATAGCCAATCACAAACACGTATGACTAGGACTAGAAAGCAAACAGTTATAAAAACGGTTGACATAATTTTGCATATCAGAAATATTAAATTGATACCAACATAGCCTACAAATCAATCCATAGAACGACAGACTGTGTAAGTACAATCTAATGACAAATATTCTCTACATTTTAGCATGTTTCTTCTTGCATCCATAATGTTCCTGGTTATATCCGGGCTTGCAGTTATGGAGGGAGCGATAATGTTTGCATACTATCATGCAAAAGGATGCGATCCACTTGAAGACAATCAAGTCAGAAATCAAAACCAGGTAACTTTTAGCTTAATTTGAGCTTTATTGTAGCCTATGCCTCGCCTATGTATATTTTATACTTGTATCTCAAAACATTTCACAGTTAACTGCATGCAGAAGTCGATATATTACACAAAAAGGTCTGTACTGGTGTATACCATTTGTCTGGTTATATGTAGTATAAAGACAGTTGCCCCTTTGCATCCAATGTCCGTAAACTGTTGTTTATCAGGAAACAAGACATTGTCCTCTAGCGACTTCATTAATATTCGGAAAAGTATGATCGCCATGATCTGAATGTTGAATGCTGTATGTCGATCCGCTTAACAGTCAACATCTGAATGTCGGATGTCGTATGTCGAACCACTCATTATTAAAAAATATACAATTTACAAAATTTACAAAATTAACAATTTAGCCAAGACAGAGACTCAGTTAAGTAAAGAAACTATGACTAAGTGTTTAATCTGAGCATTATCTAACCGGGTTATCTAACCTTTATGAGATCCCATGACAAATGTGGTCGTACTTTTAAAGAGGGGTATACATATAAAGCATCCTCTTTCTATTCGTGACGATGGCTTTACATATTTCAAGGTAATTTTCTTTTTCGCTTGTGCTCGAACACAGAATTTACAGTTTCGTCATACAAAAACAGCTTGGATCTACGCGGAATGGTTTACGAAATAAGGCTGGGTGATCTGTCTAAACATTTTCCTTCGTGTTGGTAAGTATGGATTATGAAATGTGTCTCATGTGAGCAAAAATTCACCAGATCAGAAAGGAAGCAGTCGGAGTCCCAGATAAATAAAACGGAAATCACAGACCATGCCACGAAGAAAGGTCACGTGATTGACTGGGATAACATCAAAGTGTTGGACAGAGAGAGCAATCTGCTCAAGCGGCAGATAAAGGAAGCCATCTGGATACGCCGCAATGGGCCAGTTCTAAATCGAGATGAGGGGGCTCAAATATTTTCGCACATCTATGACCAAGTATTAAAGAAAGCTAGTTGAATCGAGTCATTTTGGTACATCTTACAAAGTTGCCGAATCGACATCGATTTGGGGATAACTCGTGAACATTGTACACCTTTGTGTGCATACGCGTCACTGGTCATTTGTCTGATGGAGGTGACAGAATACATATAGTACTAGTCATCAAAACGTCACATAGAAATGCTTATTAATTGTGTAACAGGAAACATTTCATAAGCTGTGTGATCTGCTTTCATAGATCATTTAACTATAGAATATCTGGTCAGCCTTGTTATGGGTGACCTTAATTGACATATTGACGATCCATCCGATTTTGATGCTTACTGATTCACAAAGATATTAAATGCTAGTTTGTGGTCTTGGAGGAACAGGTAACGTGAGCCACTCACCAGCGAACATACAAATAATGTTTTCATTTCAGGCAGTTTGGCTCTGTCTATCTAGGTCTACCTTCAATTGTCGATTCACGATAAAGCAACAATTAGGAAACATATCTACTGATCAGTCTGTTGTTAAAGGATGTTTTAAAAATGTTAACAATAATTGCAAAATAAGTAGCAATATCGGCGGGCAAGTTTGCTTTGCATACCGAGCAGGAATTGTTGAGGACCCCGAAAAACCTTTCTGACTGGCAAAACCCCCCAAAACAACAATTATGCAGGGAAGGAGGATAATCATTCTGTCCAGCTGCCCGTCTGACCAGGGCTTGTCTTACAGGATCAGAGCTTTCAGACACCACCATCAGAAAAAACTTTAGTACTTCGAATTCTACAAAAGGCACTGATAACTTCTAGATGAAAAGGCGATCACTGACACAAAGCGCCAAATATCCAGAACTAGGTACTCAGCTGGAGATTATCACAAACTTGTAAGCAACGTTAATTGACCTAGGTCCATATATGATTAGTACAGCGGCGCTTTTAAATCCTGGTTCCTTTGATCACGTTAGGCATACACAAATCATTGATAGATTTGAATGTCTTGAAATGTTTCAAAACGATTATTATTTGATTTCTGTTCATGAAGTTTGATAGACAGAAATTTGCTCCGGTGTCAACATCTGAAAGAAAACCGTATTCAAGTCTCATGAGATGAGATGCATGTATATGGATGACCGCATCTCAGGATGAAACTTTGGGGGGAGGGTGGGAATTCTAGGACAACACAATTACTACCAATATTTAATTAAATTTTTGACGTTGCTATGCTGATTACAACGCTACATGCGTGCAATATCAAGATTATGTTATCAGCAAGTCGTTAAACTTAAACATGACCCAAGAGCAACATACTACATTATATTAGTCGGCTTGTAAAAGTATTTCATTATTCTAAATTATAGTAAACTAAAAAAAGTTTTTTGTTTTGTAGTTAATAGCAGTCATGGTGCGAGACATATTCCAGGACACACCCTGCCTCCCTGGACTTTTCTTGGCGGCGTTGTTTAGTGCTTCGCTCAGGTAATGTTAACGTACTTAATTACGCGCACCACGATTTTAGCATATTTTATGAAATATAAATTGTATACGTATTGGTGACCTGGCACATTCAAAATATACACAAAAAATGATATTTTAGAAAAAAATATCAGAGTAATCATAATTTATTAAGATCAATAGCTAATGTGACAAAAGCGCTAAAATAAAACTACCGCTAAAGTTAGAATTTTACAGTATCATCAATTCACAAATATAATTGTTTTTGTAGTAAATGAGATACTTCAACAGAAATGGTTTACCTTTATGTTACCGGGGTTTACAATCACAACCAGGATCCGGTTATTCTTTGGATATATTTATTCCACTCTTATAAAACCCTGTTGACCAAACAAATACAACATATAAATTTGACATGCAACCTCACATACCTCACATACTTGCATACATAACATAGTGAAAGGGAAATAACTCTATTAACAAATGCTATTATATAACATATATCTATTTTACCATATCAAATGTACATATACAGTGGTATTTATTAATCTACTCATTTCTAAATCTGTAACTGGAATATATGTATTCAGTTATCTTTTCCAAAAGGTTATAAATTCATTCTTTAAACAATTACATAAATATCATTACTGTCAAACCTATACTTTTACTATTGCAAATTACTCATACACACTTTTAAAATTCCAGATACATTCTATAGATAAAATCATAATAATATACACATTAAAACATTCTAGACCTATTGAACACTCACCCCACAGCTATTGTGTGGAGGTTTCCCCCAATTCCTCTCTATTAAGTCGGTTAAGTCAAACCAGTAGCTTTACACTAAAATGATATAAATATCCCTAATAAATAATTTGCCCATTATGAATTTGATACTAACTTATAGAAAGTTAAATTAACAAAAAGACTTATATCTTTACATACTCAATTTCACGTTGACCTTGAAATTGTTCAATGACAAAATGCCAATTACTTTTAGATAGAAAAAGATAAAATTACATAGCCACAATTGAATTACAAAAAATGGTATATTCCCTACCTTTTCTGTTATATCAGATGAACAAAAAGCTATTAAACAAATAGAGTAAAAACTTACCTGCTAAAGACTTTTTGATAATATTTCCTAAAATTCAAACTACAAAATGTTTCTATGATCTCAGCTGGTCAGGAGCAGAGTGCCCAAGTTGGCCAAAGCGTTTACACAGATAAACTGAGGCATCCGTCCCGACCAGTCATATGGCCCGTCCTTAGTCAGGTGTCAAACAACTCACTCACTCATTCACTCACATGCAAACACAGGTAAGTACATGTCACATACACAGGCAGATTCATTAAAGGTCCTTACACCATCTTTCACACCAGACAACATATGCAAATACAAAAATGTAACATTTGGTCTAGTTTATTCTGATTCTAATAGGCTAATCCTTGGTCTCTGGTGCGGCAATATATAGCATATCGACCCAATCTTTCTTTTTTTTTTGTTTTTGTCTTGAACGTTTCAGGATATTATTCATGTTTCTAAATTAAGATCCGAATATTAAACATATATGGCTTTTTGTTACATGTTTGTTGGATGTTTTATTTATCATTTTGCTAAAATCTATATTTATTTTTATTTTTATGAAAAAAACAAGTTATTGAATTCAATGATAATGTTTCAGTCATATTTGTAATTTATCTGATTCTCAGTAATTTGATATATAATATCATGATATGCAATATAGCAATGAGGACTTGGTTGATATCACTCTATCAGTTTCATGTAACAACGACTTGACCTCGACAAAAGTCCATAATTGATAAATATCAACAATACACAAATAAATAAATAAAATCAGAACGATATCAATATACCATTATAAATATTAAACAGACAAAAATCACATATTACTATATCTAATGTTTGTAACAGCTTGCTCATTGGATTATATTGGTTGCATGGCGGGGAAATATATATATTCGTTTCCAGTAGCATTTACCGTGCCATTTTCCTTTTTGCGGAGCCTCTCTTCATAAATTAGCAAGAGGCATCCTACATGAGTTCGGCGTAACTGAAGCAACGACAACAAAAGCGCAATAGCCGGATCATATTTACTATTGTGTTATTGCTTTTCTCGGTAAAATAAAAAACAAATGTTGCCCCTGTGATAGGGAAACACGTTTGTTTGTATTTTCCGAAGTTGAACATGGTTCACAAATGCGAAATAGTGATACTACACAAATATAGCGTAGCATTAGCAGCTAGATATTATCTACACTATCACATCATTTTCAACATGTAAAAAGTAACACTCGCGTATAAAAGAACGAAACACAGTCATGACTAGCTTGTTGTTTCCTTGCAACAAAGGATATCACGAATCCCAACTCATCACAGATGAAAATATTGCTAGTATGTTACCTTAATAAAGACTAATGTTTTGAAGACAAACAGGAATTGGAAACTGATTTACGAGCTTTCGAAAACCTCTCTTTCCTTTGTCAAGCAAATAGTTCAAATGAACGGTGTATCGACTCTAAACCGCTTCAAACAACTCACTAAGCCTCAGAGGGCTGAATCAAGTAAAGTCAGCTGTCAAAAATCAAAGACACTTCGCCCAATTGCACTCTGATACTGCAGGCAGTCAGGGGCCGAGTAACACATTTACCCATTCCCTTAATGAATGATGTTAAAATGGCGTCATGAAAATGTCTCAGCTGATGGCCCCATTCGTCTCTGTTCATCGAATTTCCTTCTCTCCTTACCAAGATGGATTCTTTGATTTTGCTGACTTTCCAGTTGTTCTCCCTTTCAAGTACTTTCGAATTGTTCCAGTCTATGGTGGTTGAAGGGTGTTAGCATGGTGTGTATTGGCCGATTTATTTATTTCCTCCGATGTTTTACTTGTATTTCTAGTGTAGACTTGCTGTATGTTATCCTGTTTACTTTCAGTACCATGTCATCAGTATTAAGTGCGATGTCTGCCATATTCTTGGAAGATATCGTCAAACCACACACCAAACCTATGTCTGACAAACAGGCTATACGAATCGCACAGTTATCAGGTAATTTATATATCACGCCTTTAATGTAGATAAAATATCAAATTTATCTTTTTAATGGACAATTTACCGAAGTCATTATCTTGTCACAAAATCCTTCATTGTATTATTTTTAGAGACTCCTTATGAACAATTTATGTTGAGATATAAACAAGAGGCAATGCTTTCTTGGAGTTCCTAATCAGTAATAAAGAATCCCTAATGGTATATTTATACCTTTAAGTTGCAGTTGTTGGTGCATTTCTAACTAATCGACCAAGCGCGAACGGGTTTTTATATTTGTAAAAGAAAATTTCTTCCCAGCCGAGGCAAGAAGCTACATTCACCATTACGTCACATAATTTCTTTGGAAAACAAGCACAAATATTTATTCCGGATCAATAGCACCTTCTTAACATAATCTTTATCGTCGTTATAAATGAGTTATAACACCTATTAAATTTATTTCACCTTTAAATCTACTGATATCGTAGTTTGTGCATTTTTAAATTCTCCTGTGAGAAAAAGTTACGTGAAAAATCAACCTTTCTGAGTCGTCGATCTAATTGTATATGTTGATAAGCCGCCCAATAAGAGGCCAGGTTGGTGACCAATTCAACTCAAGGAGGGGGGAATCTGAAATTGCCAAGAGGAATGCTTGGCAAATTAAAAATCTTAACCATAGATATGAGAATCTCCATCTCACCTCGATTGGGGTGAATTATTCTTTTTATCTTACCCTGTTGACCCTGTCATATACAACGTTGACCTTTTGGACTCAATGCATTGTTGACGTGACGTCATGCTATTGTTATGACAGGGATTCCCTCTGTCACTATCTTTAGGTGAAAGAGGGATATCTCGGTATCTGACAATTTTAAGTGTGTTAGTTGACTAAATAGTCCCTTTATCATGTGCTTAGGTATGAATATGTTTGCTATAATTACACTCTGCCTGAAGATAGTTTTGTTTTGAATATATGGACATGTGTGCATTGTTATAGTTAATCATTCAAACAAAAATGATTTAACATACATGTATATCACATTAGGAACGATAAATGTAATGAACATCTGTTCATAATATTGCAAATATCATAAACGTATTTGTGGTATTAATCGAGGACATTTTTTTCTGACAACTTCCAGTACTGGGTTTTGGAGGTCTGGCTATAGCTATCGCATTTGGTATTTCTGGCATCGAAGGACCTGTTTCACGAGTATGAACTTTATTGTTATGCTTAAATAACTGATAATAGATTGAGGTTATGAGGAAATGCCTAACTTACAAAAACATCACTTATCATAATATCATCTTTTTTAATTGTGTTTATGCTTGTTATTCCCTTGGATCTTTTCGCCATAAGCAGAGGTAAAAAACTTAAGGGTCAGTACAACTGAAGTATTGATGCATTATCTTACCTTTTTTCAAACAAGAATAGATTAATTGTGTGTGTCCATCTGATATAAATATAATTTCTATATGATAATACGACACATATTACATATTTCACTATCAATATTCGTATAAAATTAGATTTTGTCAAAAAAGAAATTCATTTACATGTAGGTTTTTCGTGTCCAAATATCTTACACTGATTTTTTGGAATATTTGACAAATCTATATATTGATTATTTCTACATATTAGATACTTGACATAACTGAAGCGTGCTTGAGCGGAACTGTCGGAGGCTTGTTCCTCCTTGGATGGTTCGTTCCTATAGCAAATTCAGTGGTAAGTCTTTGCTGCATCTAACAGAACTACAAAACAAATAAGGAAAACAACTTATACAAAATTTAGAAAAAAATACGTTTTTACTTTCAACTGTAGGGGTTTTAATGTTTATAAATATAATCACTGAACACTTTCTAAACCAGCCACCGGATTTGTTCCTCTTCCTCTCTTTGAAGTAATACCGGCATGAGTAAGTTATTTGGTTGTTTTCCCAGGGCGGTTTAGCCGGTGGCGTGGTCAGTTTCGTCGTCGTTGGATGGATATCATTCGGAAAGTTAATTTCAAAAGGAGTTCGTGTAAGTCCACAATTAGAGCCGGCTTCAACGGAGAACTGTCCAGTCTTTAATTTTTCCAGTGCAACTTCATACGAAAATACCTCAGCCTTGTGGAATGATTTTACTTACACAACGGAGGCGGCTCCAACGTCACTGGATTCTGGACAGTAAGTTCATTATATTAAAAATATACGTACTACCAACAGATGGACGTTTGTTTTTACTTAATGATAGCTTGATGACATCACCAGCTGGTTCCTCTTAACGACCACCTTTTTAACATCCGTTAATGGATAAACACTTTCCTCGCCCCCCCCCCCCCTTTGGCATTTTAGTGTTATTTATCGCATGCCGCGAGAATTTCTGGCACCTGACTTTATTAACTCGGCACATTGTGGTATAGTTAGATGCTTTCAGCGGTAAAAAGTCGAGCCACATGTTATTGACACTCTTTCCTTTACAAAGGAAACAGACGTTTCCGAAAAGTGACAAATAGGTCTTCAATTATTGTTTGTTTTCAAAAACAAATTTGACTACGTACCGATGTACATACAATTTGTTTTGTATTATGTATTGACAGACCGGGTTTATATGCACCATATTTAGTATCTTAATTTACGTATGTTTCTATTATATGTATAAACTAACAAGTCTATATGTATTCAGTTTATTTACATATAAACAAAGACCCTAGGTGTACTGTTCTTTTACACTTTATCTGCAGGCAAGGTTTGGACGTACTCTACTCTCTATCCTATAAATGGTTAACGCCCGTCGGAATCTGTTTGGTACTTATTGTTGGATCGCTCGTCAGCCTTCTGCAAGGTAATGAATTGTATAGAATTAGCCAAACAGTAGTACAAACCAATTCAAATTGCTTTTATTTGTATTATAACACCAATGCATGCTTTTTGGAGACAAAATAGATACGTTTCCCCAAACTGGACGTTCAAGTTACTGCACTTGATCTGATAGCAATTTCAGTGCTTGAAATGTCTCTCTTTGTGTGCACCTTCCTATTTAAATTTCTTTAACAGTTCCTCATGTTGTTGGCTGGAAATCAAAATAAAGTAAAATTAAAATAATCCAAATATGTCTTTTTCTCTAACAGATCATAAGCCTGTTCATCCGTCACTAGTTGTACCAGTTTGTGATTATCTGTGTGTCTGCTTCCCGGAAAGTATCCGAAGGATATTCCGGTGCGGAGTCAAGTATCCAAAGGCAAATGAAGTGAGTTAATAATGGTTTACAGATACAAATACTTTATTAAAGTCTCACCTTCCACCAATTCAAATGTTATACAATGTCATAAAACTAATTTACGTAAACAAATGCTAAAAACTACTCTAAAAGAATTAAAAGATAATATGTCTCTTATATACATGTAGAAACACCAAAATGAGAGACACGAATAAAAACACACTATGCAATATATCTATTAGTCAAAAGTAAATCATGTTTCAGTTATTATTCCTTTTTGCGCTGAAAGCAAATACATCATAAGTAGTGTAACATTTGCCTCAAAAAGACGATACATGATTTGCAAATATAATTTCTGTAAAAATGATAATAACTTTGACAGTAATCACATGCGTATATCTATATATGTTATTTGTACGCTCATTATGCTTCACTCTCGCTATACTCTTACTTAATGTACATAAACCCATATCGTTTGATTTCTTTGACAAGGCAAGGGGGTGGGGGTGGAACTAGCACTAAGAACGCTCTTGGTTAACAGAGTAGATACGAATGAACATAGGTAATAGTTCTCCTTAATGTTGTAATATGGGCGGCAGATTAATTATTTTCTTTCATATCAGCATAAACACAAAGGAACCGTCAGACTTTCAAGGTGACCACATTAGTCACCTCTGACGATTACTGACTGTGTGATTATGAAGGTCAGTTTCCTCGAACTTGTGAGGGAAGAAAGGCGTCTGTTGTTAACGTTTACTGGATAACGGTTAAAAAGGTCGTTACTCATGGTACAATTTACAACAAAAAGTTATATTTATAGGAACTTGCAATAAACCGTTATCGATACTCCAGGGGTTCCGCTCTATTTCGCGGTTTCCAACCCTGGAATATATACTTGCAAAATCAAAGGTTCAGTGTACACCACCTTGTAGATGAAACGAGATATCGTGTACATCGAAAGTATCTGTTGGTTGTATAGCGGTAAAATTGACTGGCTTTGAAGCCGGGTGTCTCTGTTGTATTCTTCAAAGGACAGGTGTCGGCCTAGTAATTGTTCAGATTAAGTTATTTGATACCAATCGAATTGCAAGGCGCGTGCCTTCAGTTTTGCTAGGAAATATTACATGGGTGCAGAAAGCAAAAGCAAGCGTTAACCCTTGAGTATCGAGGATTTCAATACACATGATAACCTGAAATATTGTTGGTTCACGTAATGGAAACATCCGATTCCGTGTTAATGACATCGGAAAGACAAGTACTATTGCATCCACCTTATTGTATTAAAATAATACATTGATTTCGAAAAATTTTCAGTGCACTTTATAAAAAAATAAACATTAAGATTTTTAGAAGATGTCCTATTATCTTAATTAAAGGGACATCACGTGAAGAGACATATTTTTGTTAATATATGTATGTATTGTACGCACCTCCACTTATGTTACCTCGCTATCCCAATATTCATGGTCCGTTCCAAATGTCCAGTTTGACCACTTGAATTGTTCGGGAAAGCCCTGCTAAAAATAGCGCCGATAATGTCACATGACTAGGCTGTAAACACAAGTGGTGTGAGCGTTCTAAGTCCGTTTTCAAACTTATTGAACAATAATTATTCATCATCAGATGTTAATTGCACACTTGCCAATATTCAGAATTTAAAGTTATTTGTTGCCAATAAAATTGAACAAGGGATGGGGCACAAATTTTTACAATTTATCACAGCCTTCTCCCGTCATACATTTGCAATTAAATGCCAACAATGATAATAGGCATAAACATAAAGTAGATATATATAAATACATATTGAATTTAGTACCGGAATGTCACCGGTACAGATGGTACGGGGCTAGACACCTTCCCTCAACCATGGGAAACCTTTCTGTAAAAAGGAATATTGACGAGACGAATATCCCTTTTCAAATGTTTACATAAATTGCATATATGCAATGACAAACTACACGCGTATAAAAAAAGAGAAACGTTTGTGAATTTATTTATTACATTGTACAACTCAATGTCTTTGCCAATTTTTTTTCTCTATACCATGCATATAAATGTATGTATAACACTTATAGTAAATCATATTAGCCATCACACACAATAAACTGTATGGCAAAACCACTACGTGTACATGTACAAGATGTGTCAGATATGGAAAGTGTTGAGATACCTGATAATTATTTTCAATACTTTACAGAGATTAAAGCATACTTGTAAATGGACCTTTTTTATGTTGAGACAACTTATCTTTAATCAGTTCCTTTTGTCCGAAACAGAAGCAGTAGTTATCGGCAGCACGCGCCATTTTTACAACGTATTAAAATATTTTTTCTCCTGTTTTCAATACGTATTCCGATTCTGTCTGAAGTCGAAAATTTATTCTTTATAGAGAAAAGGATGTTACATGATCATACATTCTAAGTCAACATCATAGGAAAACATGAACTGTTGAAAAAATACGATTTAAAAAAAATGCGATCCTATTTACTAGAAGTAGGTTCTCCTTCCTCAGTTATTCATCCTGGTCCGTCATTTTGACATTCTTAATCTAGCTGCGATAACATAGCTTTCTAACGAAGAGCAATTTTTTTTATATATTGCGTCGTCGCGCCAGAGGAGGCCGGGTATTCATATTAGGACTAATTTCAATCTTGCATGTCAAAACAAAAAAAATCGTTTAATTCAGCAATATAATTAAATCATACCGTTTTACTGATCCCGGTAATATTATAAATTATGTAAATCTAATAGCGCACTATCTCATTTGACCCCGAGTACCGACAGAGGAGTGATGCCGTGGCCATCACAACAGTTATCCATTGGAGGGCCTCATGGCAAAATCAAACTAACTAGTCACTTATCCCTTCCTTTCGCATAAACCACTGTATAATTATAGAAACACAAAGTAAACTCTCTTCGATACATGCCCATTAACATTTTAAACTAAGTTCATCTGTGTTCAAACTCGCACAATGATACTAGCGAGGTTAATAGTTTTAGATATTTATTCATAACATAAACAGCGCTAGCATTTCTGTCAATTTCATTTCATCTTAACCGGCTATCCGGAAGAATACATGCACCGTACTAACTGCTAGCGCAGTTATTTTCTACTTTAAATACTTCCCACCTGTAATAATGATTCCTTAACGTGCCCCTTGCGCTATCTTTTGACCATTTGGCAACTTTTCGCTTCGGACACGGTACAACACTTTTCTTTCGCTTATTTCACACGGCCAGTCATTTTGTTTACAAAGAAATGGTGTGCTATACGCATGCGCCTGTAGAGGGAAATCCCTGAACGTACCGATGGTTATCTTAGATTTAATCATTTTTATGAATCTATTTCAGCCAAATCCGATCGTTATTTTCTATAAGGAGTCTCACTTGATATGTTTATGCAGTATTTGAAAAAAAGAAAACAAAAAGTTGCTTCAGCGTGATGCCCCTTTAAAGAGGATATTGATTGAATATCGACTGCTGTATTTTCACCTTCTGATTGTTTTAGGGAAGTGCTGAAGACTCCGTGACTGCAGAACTAACTGTTCAAGTGTGTTCTGCTCCAGAACATATGCCATTAGATCAAGGCAATCAAAACTCGGTTTGGTAACATGGTATTTTTTAAGTTGGTTTGCATTATTTTATTTGATGACATAATTCACTGACCTTTTCCTATATATGCCGAAATAACATATTTTCGACTATTTTGAGCATTTTCCCAAAACGTTACTGCACCGTACAATATTCCGGATTTGCCGTGCACTATTTGCGTTTGATATTGCACGGTTTTACACAAACGCACTCTTGACTCAGATTTCCGACTTCGTCCACGGAAAATCAAAGCGCTTTAGTGACGCCGGACTCCCTAACGCTCCATAACAACCATATACAATGGCAGGCGACGGGCGTTTTTTCAAGTGCTGGAGTCCGACCTAGCCGATTTATTGGTCTCAGCTGATAGTAAAAACACCAAAAAGGCCATACAATATTCCGAACGAATATTTAGTTCTTTCTTGAGGGCAGAAGGATGTAGCTTGGAGATAATGACATCGAAAACCGAAGAAGAAATCAATAGGATTATGAGAAAGTTTTTTTGGTGTCAGTGAATTATGTAATAAAGCAAATATCTGATGGCTTACTGTGCGCTAGTCCCGAATATTTGCCCCTCGGTGGTGGTAATCAACAAGTGTTATATTGCACTCGGCCTACGGCCTTGTGCAATATAACACTTGTTGATTACCACCACCTCGTGTCAAATATTCTGGACTAACGCACAGTAAGCCATGAAATATTTGTATAATATTTACCATGCTATATCATTGACCCTATATAAGCCTGTGCTGTTCAGATATCATTATTCATTAGAATTATTTCAATTTATACACGCACACCAATAGGCACATTAAATTATGGTCCCAGGATACCCAGGAAAGCTGTACCAGGGTACTTACTACTGACTCACCCAATAATTGGTATATACTTAGATCACAGGAGGTCTCGGGTCTCCTCCTCTGTTCCCCATCCTCACCGTTAGTACTATATATCAAACCAAAACAATGAACACTGATTACGATTGATAACAGAAAATCGAAATAAATAAACAAATAATAAATTCTACTTTTAAAATGCACTCAGATTATGGTCTCAGTCAAAAGAGCACCACGCCGTTTACTTTGCGGCACCAGCTGCCCGCTGGCAGGGCCTACTGCTGAATATCATTATACATAAGCACTATTTCAATCACACATTAAAATATGGTCCAAGGATACCCAGCGAGGCTGTATCAGGGTGGATTTCTACTGATCATCCCATTAATTGGTATATACTGAGATCCCTGGAGGTCTGGGGTCTCCTCCTCTGTGCCCCTACCTAACCGCACATACTACATACATTGTATCTACACAGAACATCAATAATGTCTAATACACAAAGCAGTTGCGTCCCCCGGGAGGTAATCCCCTCCCCTCTTTTCGATACACGACCTTCTCTCGGCCCAAAGTCAATCACAATCCGCCATTCCAGTCACACCTTTATCCCTTAACGGTAATGCCCATATCAGAGTAGATATTTCCCTGTAAAACACTAGTATATTTCCCTACATGTATCCATTAAGTAGCCCCTCCCTACCCACTATACTCATATCCTTACTAATGTCACATGACTCCGAAATAAATAAATATGTCGCAAAGCAGATAGATACAAGGAGAAAGCAGCAGTGTAGTTTTATATGAAAGCTGACATTTGTGTTGTCTTGAAGCACCGACAAAGAGATAAATGCAACGACGTCAGTTCCAGAATTTTCCGGTAATATTTCATCCTTCCGGAAATAACCGATGAAGGCCGATGAAAGTGATGAAATATGTGTTATTTTGAAAATTCTGAAATTAGGAAAAGCATTTGGTCATGATACTATAAGTCATCATATGCTAAAATTTACAGTGAATTCTATATGTAAGCCATTGTCAATTCTTTTTAATATGTCAATAAAATTCTAAAATATTCCCTGAAATATGGAAACATGGTATTATTTTACCTCTGTTCAAAAAGGGTGATAGACACTTGGTGTCAAATTACCGACCAATTACTTTGTTGTCTTGTATAGGTAAGGCTTTTGAAAGAGTTGTATTTAAACACATCTATAATTTTTTCCTTGATCATTCTTTATTTTACGAAAAACAATCTGGTTTTATGATTCATTATTCCACTGTCCATCAGCTAATAGAAATTTACCATAATATATGTTGTTCATTAGAAGAAAAAAAACATACTTGTCTAATTGTTTGTGATATATCGAAGGCTTTTGACCGAGTTTGGCATAGGGGTCTTTTACATAAATTACATGCTTATGGTATTAGAGATGGTTTACTACATTGGTTTAAAAATTACATTTCAAACAGACAACAACAGGTTCTTGTTAAAGGTGTGTATTCTAATATAGGTTACACAAATGCTGGTGTACCACAAGGAAGTGTGTTAGGTCCTCTGTTATTTTTGGTTTATATTAATGATATTGTTGATAATTTAAATTGTATTTCACGCTTATTTGCTGATGATACCTCTTTGATGTATTCTTCGTCTTCTCATGCTGATATTGAAATGTGTGTAAACAGAGATTTGGAAAAACTTGACAAATGGTCACGGGACTGGCTTACTAAATTTAATCAACAGAAAACTGATGTGTTATTTATATCTAATTCGCGAAATATACTTCCTTTACAGATTTGTTTTGGTACTGAGACTCTGAATTGTGTTGAAAGTCATAAACATTTAGGCGTAATATTTAGTGCAGATGCAAAATGGTCTTTACATATTTCCGAAATTCAAAAAACATGCATGAAAAAGGTATCAGTACTACGAAAGTTTAAATTACTGTTGAGTAGGAAAACTTTGTTAAGAATATATAAAGTATTTGTGTTGCCTGTGTTGGATGGTTGTTCTCTGGCAGATCTAACTAAACTTGAACAAGTTCAGCTTGAAGCAGCAAGAATTATTACTGGCCTACCCACTTTTTCTAGTAAACAATCACTTTATAAAGAATCCCTATCTGAAAGAAGAAAACTTAAGAAACTTTCCCTAATGTACAAACTCCATAATAAACAAACACCTTCTTATTTAACTAACATTCTTCCTCCTAAAGTATGCGAACGCAATAGCTACAACTTGAGAAATACTGAAAACTACACTGTTCCCAATTTCCGTCTGTCTAGTTCATTCCAATCCTTTATTCCTTCTTCTATAAGACTATGGAACGATTTACCAAAAACTGTCAGAGAGCAGCCATCCATTAACGTTTTTAAATAATCGATTGAGCGTAACCAAGGTTACTTGTTGCCTATTTTTTTTTCATGTAGGAAATCGAAAACTAAATATTTTACATACACGATTGCGTCATTCATGTAGTAGTTTAAATTATGATTTGTATAGAGTTAATATTGTAGGTGAACCAATGTGTGCATGTGGAAATGAGTGTGAAAATGCAGTCCATTACTTTTTTGATTGTATGCTGTATATCAGACAAAGACAAATTTTGATTGATGATATCTCACGTTATTGTAATATTTCTCTAAATGTTATTATGTACGGTTCTCCAAATTTGTCAGATGAAGACAATGAAAATATCTTCCATATAGTCCAAACCTACATTAAAAATAGTAACAGATTTTAAGGTCAGTAGTATTATCCTATCATCTCTCTTTCTTATTCTTCTAAATTTCTTTTCTTCCCTTTTCCCTTCCTTTCTTCTTTGTTCATATATATATTATAAATATATTTGTTGTTGTTGTCATGTAATCAATATAATGAAATGTATTGGAGAGGGCGTTTCTAAGTTGAGATAACTTGTGCCTAATCCTTTTTGTTGAATGACAAATAAAAAAATGTTTAAATCAAAATGAAGGCCGATGAATTGTGACGTGCACGTGCTTGTGACGTCATAGTATGATAGTCTCTGAACGAAGTTTCATGCCTGTTGTTATTACATTTTATGTGATAGTCTTTTTTCACTCAGAATGTATATTATTTGTCATCAAAATAAACAAGTAATAAAACATGAAGATTGTTTTCGCTATATGAAGATATTCATGTATGGGATGAAAAACAATTGTCTTTGCTTCAAGGATATACTTCCTGTTTCCCCACTGGACGTCTACTTCCGGACAAAATAAATTGAAGGCAAGGTGTAGCAAGGGGAAGCAACCAGTATCTGTACTAGCAAATAACTTATCAAGTAAATTTCTGAAAAAACTATTTTGTTATCCAGGCCAAACTAACAACATGTGCCACAGATCCTCCTTTGTAGCTTTACAAACAGGACAAATATCCGTATAGATATACCAATCTTGAATAATTGCTGACGCGTAAAAATAGCATTTTTTGCACAATTTTAAAATGTAATTCACTGATTTCAACAGGATAATTAGATGCATTTACAATGCAAAAACTTGACAAACCCGTTCACATGGAAACCTATTTTCCCAAAACTCGACCGCTACCGGCGCGACAAAAGTAACATCTACCAGTACGTTGTAAATAACCCGTGTAGAACGTGGTGACACGCGCACGCCGTCTGCTCTTTGTAATGTTACAACGGGATCTACCAAACACGTTTGATCGTAAATATGACTTAATACAGTGTTCATTATCTTCTCAGGGAAACTCTTAATAATTTGGATGTACTGTGATGTTATTTCTTTTCTTGGTATGTCTGGATTATACTCGTGAACAATTTCAAAGATTGAGTGTACCGGAAGTAAACTTGGTATCACCTCGTAAGTTTAATCTTTAACATACACGCGTACAAGACCTGCTTGAATGAACATATTATTACATAAGTGTTAAGTCTCACTTTTAAAAAAGAGGATTAAAATATACAGGCTGACAATATAAGTTATCACTAGTTTCCCCAAATTCTAAAAACTTAAATATGTCCCCCATGCTAACAACATTTCTAGATAAAAACATGGAATGCCTTGTAATTGTGAACATTTTAAATCACAACACAAACATGACAACCCAAGTTTCATATACGCTATCGAAGATAAAAAGTATTTTCCTTTGTCCTTCCATAATATATATAATAATTTCTGAGTAATCTAAAAGCGAACTTTATTCTAAAGGATTTAATTTTCAAATCAATGTCGGAAAACTGTAAACCTCCATTAATTTTTGAACCTATTACTGTTTTATAAGATACCAGGTGTGCACCATTATTCTAGAGTAGACTTCAAACAAAGATTCTTAATTTGAGTCTTGTGTTTCTCCGATATTGAAGCAACAGACTGCACATGCCAATTTTTTGACAGTGATAAAGATGAAATAACAGTAGCACGACCCAGGATAGTCAAATATATTTGAGACCACGTGGTCACAATTTTACACATAGAAATAATTTTACCTTCCCAATTCAGATTCTCGCACATTCTAATGTCTGTTTCTAAATCTTTTAAAAGTTTCCTATGAAACGCCTGTGCTTCTGTTAGTTAACCTGTACCAATACACAACCTTTCTGATATCTCAACATTAACTTTTGCTCCAGATGATTTTCCGTAAAAAACTCCATTTATGCTTTTCTTACTAGATAAACTCAGTGTTGTGTCATCAGCGTGCTGAAATACCCTAGCCTCTGTATTTGACATGGGCACCTGAAATCCATATTTTTT